AAATAGATTAGCATAATACTATAATGAATCTTTGCTTAAAAGTGACATATTTCAAAACTTTCTATAATTGTATTTTTAAAATGTATTATTTATGCAATAGATATGTGACTATATTGTAGGATGTTTTCTTTTGGACTGAAATTTGCTGGTCTGGTCTGATCTGGTCTGGTCTGTTTAAGTCTGGTCTGGTCTGAACTGGTCTGGTCTGGTAAACGTCTGGTCTCTGTGTATTTTATAACTATCCAAGTCTGGTCTGATCTGGTCTGGTCTGTTTAAGTCTGGTCTGGTCTGATCTGGTCTGGTCTGGTCTGGAACTGAAAACAGTCCAAAAGAAAACATCCGTTGTATAAGTTCGCCCTTACTCACTAAATTTTTAATACGCCCGTGCATGTAAATAGAGGTTTATGTGTAGTTCAAAGACTATTTGTATTTCAATTAGTATACTGAAAACAGGCAACTAAATGATTTGTTTACAGGTCAGAGCAACACGATTGGTGACAGTTAAAGATAAATCAAATATTTAATTGTCAAATAATAAATAATGCTTTGTATGTATGAATATTATTATCTGGAGTCAAACCGTAAAGATAAATGTAAATCATTATTGGAAAACAAGGTTTACTAAATGTGATCAAGGTTGCTTTTCAACGTTCTAAATGCAAGCTTGTTGATTTTGGTTTTGGACCAAGTGCAATTTGATTAACGTGATTTGCTCTACCAAATCATCTAAATCTGGATACCAATTTCACCATTTGAAATAATATACGGAGTAAAAGGTTACCAAATATTTCAACGTTTAAAATTGAAAACTTCTAAATTACACTGGTTTCTAATTAAACTCAAGTTATATCACGTTAACACTCATTAATTACAATCGCGTTGACCTCATGATATAAAAAATCTTAAACATATATTTTATTATGGAGATAAATACTCTAGGAATGGCTAGAAGTCCCTCACTTTCCCAATTTTTGATTATACTAGTTTTTTCTTAAAATAATATTTAAATTTGTACTCCGTACTAGCTATTTAATTAATATATTAATAAGTAAATAAATAATTTCTACGGACTAATATGTCCTTATGTTATATTATTATAAAAGTCTAACTTCCAACTTCTCTCTCAAACCCTGGGCGTAGCAGCTCGTCTCTAGTCTCCTGCCCCACCCGCCATCCCGCAGCACCACCACCCCACCACCCGCTTTCACACAACATCACCGCTCGCCATCACACAACACCATCGCTCGCCATCCCGTAGCACCACCGCCCGCCGTTTAGCCGAACACCTTCCCCTTTTTCTTCTTTTTGTATATTTTGATATTAGGGTTCGCAATGTGCCCGAAGAACGGCGTTGGACCGCCGCTCCAACGTCACAGATTCTTCTACCAAGGCCTCGGAGGATGAAGGTGATCCCAAATTTGAAGATAAACCATAGGTTGTAAACGATTGAAGGCATTGTGCAGTGAATTCTAGGACAATGACTAGTGAACACAATTAGTAATTTGTATATAATGCAGTGAATATGACAAGAAGTGTAGTGAATATGACAAGAAATACAATAATATAACAAGAAATGTTGTGATAAGACTATTATGTTTTTCTTTTCCGAAATAGGAGTCATTACTATTTTTATACCGATCAATAAACTTATTTTATGTGGATTAATAAAAATTTGTATTGAAATGGTAAAGAAAAGAAAGATAAACTTAGTTGTAATTTAATTAGTCAAAGATAAACTTAGTTGTAATTTAATTAGTCAAAGATAAAGAAAATGAAATTGCAATTAAATTTTTAGTATTTTGATAGAGAAGAAAAAAAAGTTGAAGAAAGGAAGAATAACGAAAAATTACAGAAATGAATTGAAGGAGAATAAAGAAATCGTTGATAATGCATGTAAAATGAAAAGGAATGATGTCGTATAATTTGCGATGCTCATGGTGTGCTAACCCTAATCCGTTATGGGTTTGTATTAAAAAATCAGTATCTTCTACCTCTTTCTCGTGGATCTATTCAGCAGACTCCGTCGGTTTCTCTAGCTAGTACTTTCCAGTTTGTTTTCTTCTTTAATTACCTTCTTCTCTTTCTTCATCAAATACTGAGAATTTAACCACAATTATGTTCTTATCCATGTTCATCTTAAATTACGAATGAATCTAAAGTTTTCTTCTTCTACTTCTTTATCAATTCACAACTAAAAGTTTTGTTTATCTAAAACAAAAAATCATATTTGTATTTAACAAGTTTATTTGCAACTCTTCTTCGAGCTCTGGCTTATATATATGTTCCAGTTTGTGTGACTTAGGATGTTTTCTTTTGGACTTTTTTCAGTCCGAGACCAGACCTGACCAGACTTAAACAGACCAGACCAGACTAGACCAGACTTCCGTAGTTATAAAATACACAGAGACCAGACGTTTATCAGACCAGACCAGACCAGTTCAAACCAGAACAGACTTAAACAGACCAGACCAGACCAGCAAATTTCAGTCCAAAAGAAAACATCCTTATATTATGTTTTAAATCTAACAAAGTTATCGTGCGTGTTCCATAAGTTATGTAGATATACACTATACTTGCGTGTTTTTCATGCATAATTTACCTTTTCTATGAAATCATTTACATCTAATATACTTCGTATCACTGAATATAATATACTTCACAAGAATATATCATACTTACATACTTTTCACACATTATTTACACGTCCTATATTATATAATCATTTACGCCAATGATTTATATTTTTGTATCAAAATGCACTATTACACTCACATAGAATGTACCAGATTTACAAGTTTGACACATGTAAACGTGAAAGTTCTCTAAATATGAGTAAGACATAGCATAGCTTCCCAAATAAAAGTGTCATTAAATTATTTTCTTCTCAAAACAGGACACATTCAATTCACTTCTATTCTGTGAAGTTTAATTGTCTAATTTTTTAAAAGAACTAAATAGATTTTATTTTGAGAAGAAAACATATTTACATCTTTTTGAGAACTCTGCCCATACTTTACTACTATAGTCCGCAATTTCTTTTACATATTGTATAAAGTCATTTACATCAAATATTTAAATTTGTATCAATAAATAATACTCCCTCCGTCCCAAAAACAACTTTCCAATCACTATTCATTGGTCAACTTGAATCACTCGTAATCTTTTACTTTTTATATCAAATTTTTCTCAAATTTAAATTTTATTGATCAGGCTTTGTAGCGGTTTTAATATAGTTTTCTGAATATGTAAATTTTATTTACTAAAAATAATCCGAGTGTGAGCAGGGATCGAGTTGCTTTATCGTCAGTCAAGCATCGTAAACCGAACGAGAAGTTAATTTTGGGACGGAGGTAGTATTACATTTACAAGTTGATCACATGTTAAAACATTAGTAATTGTTCTATATAGGACTAAAATTAAACTTGAATAATGCACTAATAGGACCACCATTGGTTTCCCTGCTCTTTTACATTATATTACACATCGTTTCTAAATCATTACAAATATATTACTTTAAAACACACAGAACCATAAACTAGGGGTTTTAAAATTAAAAAGAACTCCAAAAACTTTGTAAAAGTATTTCATTACTTTTCTGGCATATATTGTTATTTAGTTCAATTAAATAGGTAATCTTGAAGTTTCTTGTGAAAAATTGAGGTTTGCATCAGTATTTACTAGTGTTCAACCCGGTCCACAATTCCAGACCGATTAGGAACGGAATCGGCAGGTTCTTAGGACTGCACCGTAACTGGTTTTTTCTGGTTATGTCTTTGGACCGACACAGACCTGTCCCCACCCACGCCGGTCCTGATTAGGGTATTGGGGGATAGAACCGACAGGTCCGGTCCCGGTTCAGCCTTTTTTGTTTTGTATTTCAAAGACGAGAAACATTTTAGAAGAGGTAAAAATCCATTAAAAGCTAAAGAAGGTAGAGAAGTGATTGGGAGGGCTTAAAACATACGATAGTATAAAAAGCCAAGTGGAATGTTCGGCGCAGGTCTCGATTCCACATACCCACTCAGGACCGACTGGTCTGGGACCGAAATCGGATTGGGACTATGCCTGGTATTTACTTTGAAATTGGAATTTGTGATCTATTTTTAAACTATTTTGGATTTGAATATATTTGGAGATTATTAAGCTTTTAAATTAAATATTAAAACTTAATATTTGTAAACTCAAATATAGTATGAGTTTTGTGTTTGTTATTCTATATTGTATTAATGCTAAAATAGGTTAAAGCTAAGTTGATTCATATACTCGTATAAGAGAAAACCCAAATTATCATAGATGGTGTGTATTATATATGTATTAATGGTAAAATAGGTTGATGTTTATGATCGGTGCAATAAATTGTTTTTAGAAAATAAGAAGTAAATGAATTGTGTAATCTAATGTCACACAAATATTTATATTTTGGATTTACTTCACATTATCTAAAATCTGTTATACTAGTATATTATGTATGGTATTTGATTTTTTTTGTATGGTATTTAATACATACCAATTGATATTTTACAAATATCAATATTTTTTTAAAATCTTATGATAATATTACAGATATAATAGAAAGTTGTGAAAGTGAAGGGCTCCTTCAATTCTAAATCGGTCCATTTAAATGTTGAAGTAGCTCAGTGTGCTAGCAGCTTGTTCGATCTTAGGACCTACCTAGTTAAGCTAGCTACTAGTATTGATCAGTTAGGGTTAATATAACATACATATGGGTGAGGTGATGATCGATATGAGGTCAAAATAATTCCATGGCCAGAGTTGCATATATATATGGATCTAGCTAGCTACAGTCTTGCATATACATATATACAAGTATGCATTTGTACATATCGAATTTGAAATTAGGGTTGCATCTATACATATATATACTATCAGCATTATTTGTCTCTTTTTTTTAATAAGCCAAGCGAGCAAAGCATTGATTGGTAGGTAGCTAATAAGGAAGGTAGGAATTGAGATAGGTCGTAGCAATGAATGAAGCTTACTTGGAAGATCCCAGGGGTCATATTTGTAGATGTCAAGCTGCTTGATGATTTCGATACTGATGTTGCGGTTGGCCACCTTTCTTGTGAGGTAGAAGCCGACCAGCTCTTCGTCGGTGGGATGAAAGCGGAAGCCTGGCAGCACAACGCCTTCTTCTTCCCCATCTGATCTCTTTCCGCACTCCGCTTTCCCATCATATGCTCCCATCGATCGCCGCCCAGCTTCTATCTCCGACCGATCGATGATCTCTACCTTATTTCCCGTGCGTGCGTCTCAGCTCAGCCCGATCAAGTATAATTAATTAATTAAACTATCACACGGTACGTGTTTAATCGATCCACACAATCCGACCGGGAAATAATTAAAGATGATGATGTTAATTAATTATTTATTGTAGGTGTTCGCTTCTCCTTTATAGACCTAAATTACGGGGATGGTGGGCGCCCACCTCTCCCCATTTTTCTCCAACAAATTATATACGAACCCGGTTCTGCCATTTTCATGCTACGCCCGACTAAAATCATAATTCTTTACACGTTTCAGTCTATTTATTATACACAATGATGGATTCATTGAAGAAAGAATGACATCACTATTACTTCTCAACTTCTCTTGGATAAAAATATGACCTTTTTTAAAAATACCACAAAAGTGATCCGGCCCGTTGCTTTTCCCCTTTTACCGTATCGATCACTTAGTCGCATCTTCTCTATCTCTTCCGCCCTGCATACTTCATCTTCTCCATCTCTTCCGCCCTAAGTCTTCATCGCAACTGACCGCGCCTCTTCCTCTTGTCTTCACTGACCGCGCCTCGATCACTAAGTCTTCATCAGCTTCGCCTAGCTTCTCTCATGTCTTCACTGACCGCGCCTCCGGTGGACGACGGCTCCGAACTGAAGCCTACGGTTCCAGATCCATCTTCCTCAGTGGGCGGCGTTTCTGATTTAGGGCCGCCGATGTCGGATTCGCCATGCCCCATGGAAGATGACTCCGATTTGGGGCGCCGCTGCTGGTGGGGTGCGACAATGGTCCGTGGTGGTGCGGTGGTGTTTTTTGGGCAAACTGGCCGGATGACAGGGGGCGGAAGAGCAGGGAGGGGCTGGGGACTAAGGAACGGGGAGTGGGGCTAAGCAGGGGATGAGTTGAATTTGGTCAGATCTGGAGCTGGGGAGGGTGTGGATGGAGCCATGACTGGCGATGGGGGTTGGGGGATGTGGAAGTGGCTGGGGATGAGGAGGTGGGCGGTGGTGGACTGGTTGTGGTAGTACGTTGCAGGGGTTGGGGGCTGGTTGACTGGTTGTGGTTGCAGGAGAGGGGCTGGGGGCAGAAAATGGGGCTGGGGTAAGAGCGTAGGCCGTCTCACGCAATGGCGGTGGTGTCGAGGCGGCAAGTTGATTGTTTCTGGCGAAGATTTTGATGCGAAAAGTTGTCGAAAACTTTTCCGGCGGCATAGTGACACGTTTTGCGGTGTAGTGACACGGACGCACGGGCGGTTGCTATAGTGACACGGACAATGGCTACAGTGACACGGACGGTGGCTACTGTGACACGAGTGATGGTTACAGTGACATGAGCGGTGATTTTAGTGACATAGCCGGTGGTTACAATGACAACAGCAGTGACATTTCAGGCAAATACGTGACCTTCTTAGTCACTTTTTTGACTTTTTAAAAAATGGTCACATTTCAGGAAAGTGGCTTTAATTTAGTAATATTGAAGGCAAAACCCTTTCATTGAAAACTCTATTTCTCCTTTAATTATATTTCTCTCCCGTTGAACGAACACTTGTGCACTTCTCCTTTCCATATTTTTCTCTTTATAATTCAATAGTTATTAATTTCTATCGTGATTGATGTGAATTCTAAAAAACATTAAGAGAATGATAATTTGATTAAAACATTTTCATCTCTTTATTTCACTAATATTGATTACCAATTTTCTTTAATTTATCTCCTATATATATAGGAATGCCCATCGACTCTTCGAAACAATTCCGAAGTGGATTTTCATTCTTTTCTTGAACCAATGTTTATTCTTTGTTCCATTTGAATAAAATATTGACTGTATATGTATAATATATTTTGGATAGTAGTACTTTGCTTTGAATAGATTAAAATAGATATTTTTGCTACTTCCACATCTTTAATAATTTCTTGAGTTTTTTTCTTCTAAGTTTTATGTTTAAACGACTATGTACTATTTAGTAGTACATAAACACCACATTTTATAATGGTTTTACATTATGTTTACTTAGCTTTTGTACAATTACATTGTAATCTTTATCTTCTAAAATTAAAGAAGAATTAGAAGATATTAAGATATTTTGACATGTAAGCAAAAACATGATGAAAAGAAGAGGAAGGAGCTTGGGAGCATAAGGAAGGAACACTAGAGACAAGAGGAAGCTTCATGGAGGACAAAGATGTGTGAAAAATCGGATATGATTCGACCCGGAGATCATAAGAGATCAAATAAAGCAAGTGAACATGGGAAAATCAGATTATGTCTTAGACCCAACCACCTCACTTCTCCTATAAAAACACCTCTTTCCTTCCTATTTTAGATACCAATTTTATCTCCTCTTTCATATACACTTTATTCTTGTAATTTAGGTAGTCTTTCCATCTTGGTTTTGCTACTTTGAAGCTTAATGAATTCTAAGTTGTGAGTTATTTTCTTTAAACTTCTTCCTTGAATATTAAATTTTCCCTTAATACTATATCTATATTAATGTTGGGGAGTGTTACTAAGATGACAATTAGTTAACATCTCGACATTAGTTAGAGTAGTATTTATTTTCTTCCTCTATATTAATGTTGGGGAGTGTTACTAAAATGACAATTAGTTAACATCTTGACATTAGTTATAGTAGGATTTATATCTTCTTTAATATTCTTCCTTGAATATTAAGTAATTCCTATTCATATTTCATTTTATTATTTTGAGCATTACTTAAAGGATCAATTAGTTTTGTCTCATATATTAATTATTACTAGAATCGATCGACGAATACACTTGTTAATCGTTCGATCTTTTCACGGTAGTAAACTTGGATTATTAATGCATGCGTCTCATGGTTAATAATCTAAGGGGGATTAATTATATTGATTAAACCAATAAACCGCTTGTGTATGTTGAGGTTATCAATTTCAATCGTTTTCATCGTGAATTTATTGCTACTATCGGGTTAATATGTGGCGCGTGTTCTATATTGACTCGGTAGTAAGTTTTATTAATGAACGCGTCTCGTTATTAATAACTACCCTCGATGAACTGGATATACTCCTCGATTGAGTATTCGAGAGGAAGATAGTTAAAGATATAACCGGGATCGGCGAACATTTCATTAAGTGGATAAAAGCAAAGCCAAGTTTTCATCTCTATTAAGTAAACCACATAAGTCGTTCATCTTCGTGTTTAATTAATTAAACCAAATCAAACTAAAACCCCCCTTTTTGTTACTAGTTCTATAAAAAGAAAAGTATTCCTTTCCCTGTGGATACGAACCTTACTACACTATACTACGTATTAGTGTTGTATTGATTATTATTTTGACGCACATCACGACAAAGTGCTCGTCAAATTTGGCGCTGTTGCCGGGGAAAGGCATTTAATTTTTCTTTTTATTTTATTTTAAAAAAAATTATACAAAGATTTCTATTTCTTCTCTGAGCTTTGTTTGAGTATATGGTTAGAACCCGATCTATAAACCAAATCACCTACCAAACAAACCCCGAGACAGAACAAGCCTTCGAGAGGTATAGGAATTTATTTCCAAATACTTCTTCGGATGAATCATCAAGCGCTAGTTCTTATTCTAGCGAGAACGAAGAGCCAATAACTATGGCTCTTGAGACGAGAACATTGAGGGAGCTCACGGCTCCTAACTTAAATCAACAACCTCTATTTATCACATTAAGGGGCGAGGATGCAAACAAACAACTTGCGGAGTTTCATATAGTTTGCACTAGTATGAAACCAAATAATGTTACGGAAGAACAAATCAAGTTGAAGGCCTTTCCATTCTCACTGAAGGACACGGCTAAGGATTGACTATTCTATCTTCCCTCGGGAAGCATAGAGACATGGGCGGCAATGAAGCAATGCTTCCTAGAAAGGTACTACCCCGCCTCCATCTCATCATCTTTGAAAAAACAAATAAGTATCATTGATCAAAAAGATTATGAGACCTTATATGAATATTGGGAACGGTTCAAAAAGTTATGTGCTAGCTGCCCCTATCACGGATACACCGAACATGACCTCATTCTCTACTTCTATGATGGTCTTATGGATCAAGATCGCTGCATGGTAAATGCAGCGTGTGGAGGGGGCATTGTCAACAAAACCCCTTCCCAAGCAAGAGATCTCATCTCGGAGTTGGCCGAGAACTCTCTAGACACTACAACGGGCGGTCCTCAACTCGTAGAGTTGCCGCTGCGGAATCAACATCATAATTGGAGAGTTAAGTTGCCGGCTTGACTTCTTTGGTTAAGGATTTCCTTTTAAAATCCAAGACCCAAGAAGTCAAGGTCTGCGGTATTTGTACACAACAAGGGCATCCCAAGAAGACAATCTAGCGCAAGTCAACGCCTTGGGTTTCCAAGGACATCAACAACGGAGGTACGACCCATTCTCAAACTCTTACAACCAAGGATTGAGGGATCATCCAAACTTGAGGTATGGAAACCCCCAACAATCCAACCCACCTCCTCAACCACCTTTTAACAATCAAGGCTCAAATTCTCAACCTAATATGTCAACTGATGACATGATACGAGCTTTGACTTCAAACATGATTACCATGCAACAAAGCATGGGACAATTTCAACAAACCATGATACAATTCCAACATGAGACAAAGTCAAGCATTAAAAATTTGGAAACTCAAGTTAGCCAAATTTCAAATGCCGTAAACCGACTCGAAGCGAAGGACTCGGGTAAACTCCATCTCAAACGGAGCAAAACCCGAGACAACAGGTGAATGCAATCATGTTGAGAAGTGGTACGACACTTAAGGAGGTGGAGATGAATAACCAAAAGGTTGAGGATGATCACGAAGAAGCTCAATCAGAGGAGGGGATCCCAAAAGCCAAACTCCCCCCATTGTCATCATATGAACTAGTAGCTCCTTTCCCTGAGGCACTGAGGGAAACAAAGAAGCCAAGGAGAGATGTAGATATCTATGAGACTTTCACCAATTGTGAGGTAAACATTCCACTCCTTCATTTAATTAAGAGTGTCCCTCGATTTGCTAAATTTTTAAAAGAATTATGCACAATCAAGAGGACACAACACTCAAAAGGAAAACAGAAAGTTGAAATTAGTGAACATGTTTCGGCAGTTTTTCA